CCCTTCCACTTGACCAAGTACATCATGCTCCGGTGTGCGCCTCGGCCAATAATCTTGGAGTTGATGACGGCCTCGACCTCGTATTGTTCTTCACCATCGATCATCTCAGGTGGGGGCTCTGGCGGGTTGGCTTGGTTTGCGAAGGCGGGCGGGGTGTAGGGCGTTAGGAGAGCCTCGTTGAACACGTTGTGCGTCTTCCAGGTTGGGGGAATATCCAAGCGATATGCAGAGGCCCCAATCTTCTCGAGGGTTTTGAAAGGGCCATGACGACGTTCATTCAGTGCCGGTGAAGGACGTTTGGACTTGAGGTTGGTTGCTTCAAGCCACACCTGGTCACCAACCTCGTAGTTGCGAGCGTCTTGGCGGTTTCGATCGTAAACCTCCTTCATGGTCTCCTTAGCCTGGTGTAGTGCAGATGCGATCTCCTCATGAACCTTCTTGAGATGTTGAGCATATGATGTGGCGGCGGGTATGTGGTCTGTAGCGCGGGGATTGAGTCCACTATACGGGTGGCGTCCCTCAGCGGCATAAAATAGTGTCTCGTGGTGCAAGGAATGAACCGTATTGTTGTACGAAAACTGCACCGACTTGAGGTATTTCACCCAGTCACTCTAGTGGTAATCCATGTAGAGGCGGAGGAAGGTTTTGAGTTCCTGGTTATAGCGCTCGGTGAGTCCGTCGGTCTGCGGGTGGTATGCCGTGGAGGGATTCCCAACTATGCCAAGCTGATCCATGAGAGCGCACGTGAACGAGGAGATGAAGGTAGAGCCGCGATCCGTGATGATCTTGCGTGGTAGGCCGTGCTCGCTGTAGACGTGGTTGTGGAAAAGTTGGGCGAGCTGGCCTGAGTCTGTGGTATCTCTGCAGGGAATACAGATAACGCAGCGACTGAAGTGATCATTAACGTTGAGAACCATGTTGAAACCTTCGCATTCCGGTAATGGGCCCACAAAGTCCATGGAAATGACCTCAAATGGTCCAGTAGGTGTCTCGTTGGGCTGGAGCGGTGCATGAGGGCATTCTTGTCGGTACTTGATGCGCTAGCAGAGCTGGCATCCTGCCACATAGCGTCCTACGTCCTTCCTAATGCTGGGCCACCAATACGTTCGTGTGATAAGCTCCTCTGTCTTGTAGCGTCCTGGGTGTCCTGCGGCGAGAGAGTCATGGTGCGCTTTAATGATGTCCGCGCGTAAGGCTTTGTCAGGCAGCACATAGATGTGGTCGTCGTGCGTGAGTAGGCCGTCTGCGTGCTCTTTCCAACGCGGATTCTTGA